CCTATTTAAATCCTTGTGTTAGAGATAAATGTTTTAAATGTGTACCAAGTTTGCATGACTTAAAAATTTATTAAAAAAATATTAAGGCTAAAATTTAAATAAAAGATTTAAATAAAATATGGCATAATATTATTAAAATTTTATAGATTAGTTTGCCACTTACCTCATAGCTCTGCAGCGTAGGATCACTGCAACCATTATTTGAGTTATTGAGATTACTATTACTATTTCCTCCATTTCCTCTAACATCCGTGCTACTTCCACCTCCACCGCCGCCATCATGACTTATATTGGCCGCTGTTGGTATACGTTCATGACTATGGTTATGTGGATGCAGGCTTACTCCAACACCAATGCCAATATCCATATCAGGTGCTGTCACAAAATCGAAAAAATCCGTTTTCGATAAATCCTCCGGTCGAAAGGATTCAGTAATATCCATGCCAGTAGATGACATTTCATCGGTGCCAATCATTTAGTGGGCGGGTTTTTTGTGAAAATATTAATTTTTTTATCCCCCTTTCGTGATAAGTGATAAGCAGTTTTTTGTCATGTGCTAATTTTGAACCTGAAATAAAATAAAAAACATTATATCACATTATATATTATCACATTACATAGACAAATTAACCATTAATTGATATATATAACTAAATTTATTGAATGTAACTTAATGGTAAAGAAACTATAACAAAGTTCATCCAAGGCTTGTGTGCAATTATAAATAAAAACTGATAGGTAGTGATATCTTACTGCGACATCCGTTAATATCCAGATATGCCACTCATAAGAAAAAAAATAATAAACATAAATAGACAATAACGATTAAAGAAGATACTTTCTGTTGACGTAGAATAAATTATGCAAAATATAAAATATATGTGGTACGAATTCTGATTAATACTTGCAACTGCATTGATCTTCATAAGCTGTGGGAAATAAAAAATAACATCCATATATATAAAATATACTTGTCATTGTAATTTTATACTTATAATTACATATATATTTATATAAATATATAGAAGACTATATTCTAATAATTACTTAGCATAATATCTATACATATAAACTTATAGAGACACTGCAACTTATCAACAAGGAATGTGTTATATCCAATGTATTTAAGAGCATTTTTATAGGTATGTTATTTGTAGACCCCCCTCTAGTTCCAATTAAATAAACCAATTTATTTGCTTAGCTAATGGATTCAAAAGCAGCTAATTTATCTTATTTGACTTTTATACTTTATAGCGGTTTTAATAGATGCCCAATTGATTAATTCGCTTTATTGTTAATTGTTGATTCCTTGGTTTAATGATAATGGCTTGAAGCCAAACAAATAGACTTCTTCTAAGTTGATTTTGGACGATCGTAATTTATACAGATACTGATGTGTTTCCTTTTGAGATGCTGTAAATTAAATAGCAATAAACACAACAGTAAACAATTCGAAACTAATAAATATTTTGAATTGTAATTAAGGGAGGAAAATGCCAATAAAAGTAAAAAAAATTAATTAGTAATTAAATTGTAACTCTTTGGCAAATACATTTTGGACTCCATGTACACATTGTTGGCAAGTTTACAAGTTTAATGAAGTAACACAGCTGCTGTGGAATGAGTGGCGTGAGGAGCGTGAGGAGCGACAACAACAAGTGCAATGCAATGATGCAGTGGAGCAGTGCATAGAATGCAGAAATCTATAAAAAACTAAAACAGTAAAAGTGTCACAAGACACGACGTTGCTGGAATTATCAATTAACTTTTATGCCGCACTCAGCTTTGCTGTGCTAGCAAATGTTTAGCGGTGGCAGGGGAGCAAGCAAGATGCAAAAGTTCCTTTATAGGATTTTCTTAAATAAAATAACTATTAAAAATAGAAAATATATGGTAAAAAAGACTTCCATGCCATAAATTTTGTTTGTGGTACATTTATGCACTTTGGTGCAGTGCAACAAGAAGTGCAACCAATCACGGTTACAAGCTGTAAAAAGCACTTGAGTCGAGCAAACAGCAATCGGTGCTTGTCTAAGCTGTAAATTTGGCTTGCCTGCCTGCGCTTACCTGAGCTTGGCTTCACTTCACTTAACTTGGTTTGGATTGGTTTGGTTTGCTTTGGCTATGGCTTTAGTTTGGTTTCGTTTAGTTTGGTTTGGTTTGGTTTGGTTTGGGTTGTCTTGTCATGTCATCATTGTAAGCATCATCATTATCATTCACATTGACAACAGCATTTACCATATTTTTAATCAACTGCAAATGCATAAAATTTGATGTGTTTGCAATGATGTCTGACCGTGTCACAGTCGCAAAACACGCATTAATCAAATTTAAATTACAGAAATTCAATTTCTGTCGTGTGTGGATGACTGAAGCAACAACAACACCAACAACAACAACAACAACAACAAACATATAAAGAATAGTTTAAGATATTATATCTTAGCTTCTATGTTTTTTAATTGTTTTTCAAGCATAAATTTCGGTCACAGCAATAATTAAACAATTTTGCCCATCCAAAAAGGCAATGGAAGCCTTGGTGAATTTATGTGTCTCTTGGGTACTTAATGGGTGAAAGATGTGGAGGAGCTGCTGTAAATATCATAATTAATTGACACTTTATGCTCTATAATTATATATATAGCTTTTAATTAAAATAAAGGGTATGAGAGCTGGAGCTGCACTATACCATAGTTACTGACTCGCTCTAAACTGTCGTTATAAATTAACTTTATACCGTATTAATGAAGAAACTGTTATGCAATTATTTTATTAATTAAACACTATTTTCATTTCCAATTTCCATTTAATGTATTTGCATATTTGTTACCAGTTTTTCTTTTTTGTTGGCGCTGGAAAGGAAATTGCTTGCCAATTACAGATAACACTGTACTGCACAATTTCGGATGCACAATTTAGTTAACTTATGGCCTTTCTTGCGGGTGCAACGAATCCATGTACAGCAATAAATTTCGAATTTGCACTTAAATTGTAGTGGATCAATTAAGTGGACAGAAAGTAAGTCAATTTGTTCATTTTTTCTACACGAGTGGATATTGAGAAAGGAACGTTAATGTGAAGTTAATGTAAAAATTCCAATCCATTCGTTTTTCGGCATTTGGAAAGGAGGAGTGTTTGAAGCATGCTTAATAGTCAATAAAGTAAAATATCTTATCAATATATCAGGAATGTCATGAATACACTATAATTAAAAAGTAAGCAGTTACAAGCATTAATTTTATACTATGCATTTAATTTTTTGTGAGAAATTAGATTTCGTTAATATTTAGCGCTATTGACAAGTTTTTGGATTGAAATTAGAAACTTAATTATTTAAGTATTATTTTAGAAGGTGATTTTTGTTGAAACGATTTAAGTTTATATAATTGTGATGTCTTCATTTCGCAAGAATCTTTATTAATCAAATCAGATGTTAAAATTTGATTACAAAAAATGACACAAGGGGAATGGCCAATCAATCGATTCGAAATGCAATTTATGACCTTAAATTTTAATTTGCAAATGAGACGTTTCCGACTAACAACACAGTTTTCATCGTGAATGACTTTTTAATCCAATATTTTGACTGTCCTTTAGATTCTGTAGTGGTGGAGTATATTTCAATAAAAGCTATGAATCTATGCGAAATATACATCCTGGTTTCCTTAGTTGGTACAAACTCAGCAAATGTGGTACGGGCATGAGCCGGAAGGTTTTCACTAAATTCACTAAATGTGTTCAAGTGATGATCATGGGGCAGAACAGGTAAATGTAAATCATACTAGGTAGAAAAGATATCACGGACTTAACACGAACCATTTCTGACATTTGCTGTTGAATATTAAACCAACAGCTTTTTCCAAAGACGATGATATTTGGCGATATCGAAGACAGTTGTAAAATCATTCCAAAAATTGACGTGTTTGAGGATTGGAAGGTGTTTGAATTTAAAAATTTCCACACCATCCATATCTTTTTATTTAAAGAAGAAATCATATCATATAACATACAATTTTTTTAAAAAAATATGAAGCAAATAGTGCATTTACTAGAAAGGGAGTTCTACAAAGCCTAGTTATTAATATTTAAATATTATATGAAATATATCTGGAAAGAGTATTCCCTTAGTTCTTGCGAATTTAAAGTAATTAGTTTTAATAATAACGTAAAAGAAATAATTTTTACTACTCATTGGTTTTGTAAATTTGTCAATAAGTAGTCAGCTTTTTATTATCAATAGCTTTAGGGCAAAAGATAGGGAGAGTATATGTGGTTAAACCAAAAGAGGAAATATTTCCGAGTATGAGTCAAGAAAACTCAGTTTTTCACAGGGAAAAAAACTGAGTTTTGTATATACTTATACAAGAGAAAATATGTATATATTTTCTCTGACAGCACTCTTCCTCTTCTCAGCACTCCTAGTACTACGCTCACCTCGAATGACTTCAAAACTTGTGTGGGAATACTTTCAATTTCTCAAAGATCTTGCTGAAAGAAAAATGGTTCACTTAATATGGATCTCAGGACACAGCGGAGTTGAGAGAAACGAGAAAACAGGTGAACTAGTCAAAAAATTAGCGGTCTTATATGGTATTATAATGGGTCACAACTATTCTGCTGTCTTTCATGGAGCTTTTTTAAACTTATAATTAATGAATGGCTGAAAAGAGTAGTTCAATCTGATTGGTATAATGCCACTGCCTGCAGACAAGCTAAAGAATTCATACTGAATCGAACAAAAGCCAGAACTGGGGAGTTTCTAAAGACCTCTTGTCACAGGGTTTTTCACTGATCATTGCAAAGTAAAAAAATGTCTATCGAACCTTCATATTACAAGAGCCGATGGTTGCAGACTTTGTTACGAAGAAGAGGAAACAGCAGAATATATTTTGTGTCACGGTGATAGTCTCGCCAGACTCAGACTTCGGTGCTTATCAACTGCCTATCCACTTATAATGGAATAAGGCAATATTTCTTCAAAGGACATAATGACATTTTTAACTGATACTTATCTATGGCACTAAAGTGGGTTTGTCACAATAATTCTCAATGGATGCAGTGACGTGGTGAAAAGTTCCCAACCCGTTAAAAATCTAATCTATTCTAACTTGATCTTGGGCAAAAATTGATAATATAGGCAATTATAATTATAAATTTATAACAATTACGAGTAAAAATTTGTTACCTTATACAGTTTATAAAAGTATTTAGACGGATTTACGAAAGAATTCAGAATTCTCTTATCGTAGTTATGAGAATTTACTCTACTAAAATATTTTTTACATTTATGTAGTAAATGGTGAAATTGTTGTTGATTGGCTATGATTAAAATAGTTTTATTTGATATTGTTTATCTTAGTATTGTTAACAAAAATGTTCTATTTCTTCCTTACTTTTACGAGTATACTCTTAATTGTGTTTAAATTTGTAGTGTTTTTAACACCTGTTAACGAACAACTTCATATTTTTTTTGAT